AAAAAAGGACGTGTTTAAATGGGATTCTTTTTTTTTTTTTTGGTAATAATTGTTTTAGTCAGCTCGGGCTCCCACAGCAAGACGTCAAGGCTGGGGTTTAAATGACAGAAGTTTATCTCCCGACGCGCGGGAGGCCAGGCGTCCAGCGTCGGGGTCCAGCAGCTCGGATTCTGGAGAGGAGCCTCTGCCTGTCCAATGCGCCTTCCCACTGTCCCTGCCTGTGGCTAAGGTGCCGCCTCCTGCAAGAACAGCAGCCAGGCCCCCCGCCCCCCAACCTACGGCCTCACTGAATCCTCACTCTCTCCCAGAGGCCTCGTCTCCAGATCCATCCTCGTGAGGGGGGGCTGGGGGCAGGGCTCCCCGCGTGGAGTCTGGAGAGGGTGCACCCCAGCCGGGAACAGCAGCTGTGTGTGTCACATTTGACCGAAGGGCTTTGCAGGCGGGAGAACTGCCCAGCCGAGGCAGATCTGCCACCGCGAGTGACTTCTGCGGTGGGCTGGGCGCCAAGCGCTTTCCGCGGAGCCCAGGACGCGGGACCAGCTCCCTCAGGAGCTCTGCTGAGCATCAGACACGTGCGCCAGTGTCAGTGTCACCAGCCGGGTATCGATGGCGCGTCACTGGCCCCGTCGTCACTGTGTCAAGGGCTTGAAATGCCACAGTAAATGGTCTTCAAAAGAAGGACCACTAAGGGCCGCATAAGCGGTAACTCCGGATCTGCAGGCAGCAGGCCTCGCTTCCCGCGGGACCCGCCCTTCGCGGGGTCCCTGAGTTAGAGCTTCAGGCCGGGGCTTCCAGGGTCTGAACTGAAGTCAGTAAACCCGCCTGACCCACCGAAGCTCGGTGCGGATCCGGCCCCCGGGCGGCTGGTCCCCGCGGCGGGAGGTCCGGCGGAGACCCCGCTGCCCCCTCCCTGGTCAGCAGCTGAGTCTGGGGCCCGTGCGTGCGTGACCGCCGCCCCTCTCCCCGCAGGTCCGACGCCTTCGAGGTGCTGGCCCTGGACGGCGTCCGCTCGGGGCTCCTTCGGTTCCGCTCCGCCCGAGAGAGCTGGGACTGGCTGTGCGCGGTGTCGGCAAACGTCAGGCAGCTGACGCTCCGGGACGTGAGTGCGGACCCCGGCTCCGGCCTTCCCCCCGGTTCCCCAAAATAACTACGGCTTTTCGTTATTTACGATTAACCCGAAAACTGTCAGTTATAACGTTAAACAGAAAAACGTGTCCTTTCCCCACAACAGCTCAGATCCCTGGCTAAACAAAGTTAAAAGTTAAGTCACCTGTGTTACCTGATGTAGGAGTGTGAGGTACCGTAAGGCAGAATCCAGCATCCGGGCACCCGGCAGCCCGCTCTGCTCCCTCCCCCCTCTGCGCCCTCCGACCCTCCCCCGAACCCCTCCTTCCCGCCACACGGCCAGCTGGGGAGGCTGCTAAGCAGAGCGGGGTGTGCACATCAGAGTGGGGGGTGCCCGAGTCCTCTGCGGGCCTCGGGGTTTGCTTGCTTCGGCTGTGTGACGGCCACCAGAGCCTAAGACCTTCGTTTCAAACGTGACATTTTAAATTCCAAAGGTTCCCAGAGGTAAAAGGGAAGGAAAAGAAACAGAACAGGAGGTAGGCGGAGGCCGCACTGGCAGCTGGCCTCCACGGGTCCCCCAGACAGCTGGCCTCCGTGGGTCCCCCAGACAGCTGGCCTCCGTGGGTCCCCCAGACAGCTGGCCTCCCTCCCCGCGTCCCAGCTGCTCGCTGGCGCAGGCAGATGTGGACGCCAGCGTCTGAGGGCCGGAGGGCCGGAGGGGTTGGTTTGAATCATCGCTCTCGGCAGCCTGTCACTGGCGGAAACGGCATCCACCCCGGGGGGGGGCTGGGAGAGTTCACGGAAGGGCCGTGTGGCCTGTGAGAACCGCAGCCACCTGAGGTGACGTAGAGCAGGACCCTCGTCCCGGGTTTTCGGATGTTGGAGTTCGCGCCCCGCTGTCCCCGGGCTTCGCCGACAGCGAATGCTGGCGTGTGGCGCGCCGTCGTCTGTGGGCGCTGATGCTTTTTGTTTTCGACGACGAGAATGGCTGCCGTGTGTTCGCATGTGCACGTGTTTGGTTTTCAGGTTCGAAATGCATCATAAAAGAACCTTGTCCCCCAGGACACCTCCTGCAGCTAATTAATTCCCGTTGCCAGTGAGACAGGTTGAAAACGTTCCGCGCTGATGTGCCTGTCATGTGACCCTTTGCTCCTTCTCTCTGCAGATGAAAATGGCAAATAAATGCTGTTCCCCCTGTGACCAGGTAAGCTTTGTTGTTTCTGCTCGTTAGTTTGGTTTGTGCTGGTTCTGGAACAAGCCTCCCCAAGGAGCCTCTTCCTGTTTGTGGCGTTTGGCTGGGAAGTCTTGGTAGGAAAACAGGACGCCTGGCGGAGGCGGAGGGTGGGGGGTGCCCGCAGCGTCAGCCCCACGAGACTGCTCCTGCGCAGGGGGGTGGGGCGGGAGGGGCTGTCCCTGTCCTGTGTCTGCGTGTCCGTGGGGACTGTCCCTCAGCGCGTGCGTTGCGTAAGGGGACGTGGTTGAGTGTGTGGACAGACACGATCGTTTAAGCTGAGGGTTTCTGTGACAGGGCACGCCCGTGCAGTTGGAGTCTTAGCATCGTGTGACTTTCTCAGATGACCTCCTTGTTTGGAAAGTGCCCCTCGTGGGGCCTGTGACCCGGCAGACTTTATTGCTGGTGCTGGGGACCCTCCCCCGCTCCCCCAGCACAGGCAGCTTGCTCACCTTCAGGCCGAGGCCGAGTCCTTGCGTTGACCCAGAGCCACCTGTGTGGCTCCCTCTTCAGGACCCTCAGCTCACTCCTTCTCAGAGAAAAGACGATTATAACCCGCCCGGCTTCCTACTTCAAGCATTGCTCGGGTACCAGGTCCCTTGGTACTTAGGAGTGATCTGTCGTAGCCAAGCTGCGCGTTGGCACTGGGGAGGCAAACTCTGAGGCCAGGGTTATTCTCCTGAATCTTTTTATAAAGCCATGGCTCGGACTGCAGTGTGAGCACGTAGTTTCTACTTCACCTCATTAGTTTCCTGACTGGATCTCTCATAGGTTTGAGGACCGTACGCTGTAGCCTCAGGTGAAGGAACTGAGCAGAACGTGTTCAGTTTGTCTTAAATAGCGCTTAGGGACACTAAGCGCTATTAAATAATAAATTTATTAAACAATAAATTTGTCTTAAATAGCGCTTAGGGACACTCTCTAAAAAGCGTGTCACGATAACATTTAAGTTCAAGATGGAAGACAGGAGGACAAACAAGCCCCTGCCAGTCAAAAGCTTATTGAAAAAACATCGGAAATTGGGGCTGAGTTTTAAATTAAGCCACTCTAGTCAACATTTTTAAATTAGAGAAGAAATTCTTGAGAAAAGTTCTTCTAAAATTATCTTTCCTTTCTGGTAAAACTTTCTAAATTTATGGTCAACTATTTTTGTTTCGCATGGCTAAATGAGGGTGGTGAGCTATTTAACGAGTAATATTTCCATGTCTTCAAATTAATACAGGATTCCATTCATATTCTTATAACAGAAATTTCTCAGACTTTTCCACTGAGGACCTCTCTGTGCCTCACACACAAAGCGCACCTTCTCTGGATTTATTTACCGAGGCTGGTCAGAGAATAGACCAAATCGGTGCTATATTTGATTATTCTGTTGTAGAATCAAAATTAGCAAAATGCCCTAGGAGATGCTTTCTACTGTAAATTAGACTCTTCCGAGTCCGCGGGAGGGGGCGGTGCTCCAGGCGGTGCTCCAGGCGGTGCTCCTCTGTTTCCGCGTTCATGGCGGGCGGTTGTTCTCTCTGGGGACCATCGGATCACCCATGGGCAGCGGTTTGCGCACACTTAAGTCCAGAGCCGAGGTGAGCTCTGTACTTGACTCACGTTGAGCACATACCATCATAATGTGCAGCTTTTACAGGCCTTGAACTTGATGCGTTTGGAAGAACACCGTGCATTTTCATGAGTGCACTTGAGTTACTTGGCACAATGGGAAGGGCACTGGTCTGGAAATCAAAACACGCCTTGTTTTACTTTGAGCTTAACTCCTTTTTCTTGTTGCCTCACAAGAGAGAATCAGTTTTAAGAGAAACTTAAAACTGTCTGAAGAGCAAAATTCCTGATAGAGACAGAGAACATTAAACAAATTATGGTTTAAAGACCTTGTGCTTTTGTTTTATCTTAATGAAGTTTTACCGCACAGTAAACCTCATTTGTGTGATGACAGTCTTGGTGGCCTTAGTTGACTAAAACCTGGATTCTAATCTCAAGGAATTCCTTCTCTGCCTGGCATAATTTAAGCAAATTAACACCTCAACCCTGAATTTACTGGAAACTTAAATTAGTTTATATGGAAATGACGATGAGCTTCACTATGTAGGATCATTAAAGAATCGACACTGCTGTATCTTTCTGTGATTTTAGTAGAGGATTATTTCATGTTTTTCCCCCAAATTAAACATTTCGATAGTATTATAGTTTATATTTACGATGTTGAACGCTTTAAAACAGGAAAGATTTTTTTTTTAATCATTCTGGACAACTAATTGTTTATTTTGGTATATAGCAAGTAAATAATATTTGAATATATATTCAGAAATGAAAATATTTGACAACCACTGAAAGTGGCCAACAAAAAAAGCAAACAGAATCGGATAATACAAAAGGCATAGAATATAGATCTTTAGACTCATCCGGTAAATAAAATGACTATCTAATTTGTCAACCAAACCGGAGCACTGCTTTCTGGGGTAAAGGTCAACCTAAAAGCGAGGCTGAGACAACGGGCGTAAAGTTAGAATCGTGCCAGGCAAACTGGGGCACGCGTTCACCCACTAAAATTGCAAACAGCTCTGTGCATTTCCAAAATAAATTTCTTCTCAAAAACCTGAGTTAAGATGGGTGCCTTAGCCACCAAATCCAGCGAAACCGAGCAACTCGAGTGACTGGCCTTTTCAGTGTGAAGAAAAAGACTGGCTGAGCAGGTCGCTGAAGGATGTTGAACTCAGCACCGTGACTCATTCGAGGGAGGAAAAAAGGAAATGGACTTTCCTATAGAAACGCCATCGGAAAAAGATAAATGAAAACGCGCTCCTTTATTATAACTGTTATGTTCTCTTAATTTAATTATGATGGTACAATCAGGTTCATAAAATTATAATATACATTTCTTGGGACATGTCATAAACCATTAGAAAATTCACAGTATAAAAGATAAAAATAGCTTCCCTTCAAATTATGTATGAACCGCACATACCTAAAAAAAGACTCGCAGATCCACCAGTGTTGCCAACAATAGCTAGGCTATGACTTACTTCTTTGCTAATTAATCGAGGTAGAATTAAACTGCACGTGGACTTGATTAAGTTCTCACCCAGTTACAGGCATTCCAGGCTTTTAGCAGGCTGTGTACCTCCGTCCGGGCCAGAAAAAGCAGCTCCCCGTCCCTCCTCGGCGTAAAACTTCCTCGAACAATGAGTCCTGCAACCCCTTAACCAGACGCAGGAGGGGACACTGCCCAGCCCTGGAGCTCAGAGGATGCGGTGGACAGGGACGGTGTGCCTGGACCAGCCTGGGAGGCGTGGGTGCCGGTGCCTGCCCCGCACCTGTGTCCCCAGGGCCTGGAGTCGCTGTCACGCTGTGCGGCAGCTGGATGGTAAATCGACGAGCGCAGCCCGCGGAAGGTGCTCGCTGCTGCCGGGCCGGAGAGAGCCCGGCGTCTCCGCCGCGGCCCGGGGCGCACGGCCCGCTCCCCGCTCGCCTTGGTCCCTTGCAGTCCGTAGTCTCTAACTCTACGCCGCCTGTCGTCTGTCACCTGTCTGCGTCCGCGTCTCTGCCTGTGGGCGTTACAGCCCTGCCTTAAAGCTCGCTCCTACGTGCCAGCTTCGAATCCATCGTCCATCCCTTGTGAAATCTGAGCTCTGGCTTGTGGTTTCGTATCCCTCGGAGAGAAAGAGGAAGCGGGGGAGGCTGGGCAGCGTCTGAATATGTGATCGAGTAAAGAAAAGGCAAAGGAAAACAGCAGATTCTGTCCTCCCCGGCAGGGAAAAGAATCACTTTAAATCTCTTCTGCCCATTTATGAGTTTAATTAGAAATGAATTTGGAGTCTTCAAGTGTTGGGGCTTCTCGCCATGGAATCGCTCGTCTTGCAGATTTTCCGAGCCCCACGCCGCTTTGCCGGAGCCCTGGAGACGGGCCTTTCGTCTCCGTCCCTCGGGCCCCCGCGTCGTGCTCGCTGCCCGTCCCCCGCCAGCCCCCCCTGGTGCAGCGATGGGGTCCCTGGGAGCACACGGAGCATCTGAGTGGAGTTTTGAGCTTGTTGTTGACTTAAAACTGCAATAATTTAGAGTTGAAACCACGTCCTTGCTGCAATCGTGTAGCCGCTCAGGCAGCAGTGGCTCGTGCGTGGGCCATGTCACATGCTCCCTCTCGAGGGACGGGTGGCCAGGCCATCCGCCAGCCCTGCACGTGTGGCATGGAGGCCGGCGAAGGCGTGCGGCGTGATGTGCCAACGGTGCGACTCCCACAGCTCCCCCTCAAGGTGACGACAGGGCCCCATACTTCTGTGGCAGAGCTGGTGCAGGGTGTTGTCACACGCACCGCTTCATTGGTCCTCGGAACAGACTTGCGCAGTGGGCTGTGTCACCCCCCGCTCTGAAGATGAGGACGTGGGACACAGAGCGATCGAACAGCCTGGACTTAACGTTCAGCGCCCTCGTCCCTGAAGCAGGGGTGCTACTGCTGTCACCGAGCGTCGCCGGTGGCCAGGCCCCGTCCTCAGAAGGCGCCCTGTGGAAAGTAAGGAACGAGCTGAAGGTCGTGCAGGGACCGCCGGGCGGCCCGTCCGTGCTGCCGGCCACGCAGCCATAGGCCTCACGCCACGACCTGGACTGTGAAACCGGTTCCCGGGGCCCCCGGGTGATTTCTAACAAGGCGGTCGTGTTCTCACCTGTAACGATCCCAGCTGAGGCTGCAGGTCCCGTGTCCACGTCCTGGGGCTTGTTCTGCACCAACCCCAGGTGTGGCATGTTTTTCCTTTACTGGGCAAAACTCACTACATTTGCAGTTCATTGTTGTTAGTAGCCATGTTTAAAATGAATCGTACCTTAAATAAGCTGTACAAGTCTGTTCGTATAGACTTGTAAATAAACATTACATTCATGCAGCAGTGAGTTTGGAATTAAGTAACTGAACTCCAGTTAATTTTAGAAACATCAAAAATCTGCTAAATTAGCTAGAAAAAATGGAATGTTTC